CGTGCGTGACGCTAATGCGTTGGTTCATACGTGTCGTCCGCATTCATGGTGTGATGGAGCGCCGCCGTGCGGTAGATGCAGCTGGTCACCACTCTCACCACCTCATCCAACGACCGGAAGGTGCCGGGGAAGCCGGGGATGACGCCGGAAGTCGCCACACCCCACGACTGCAATTCCCAGTCGGCCACCACGTCACCATCGCTGAAGTAGTAAGCTGACAAGTAGTTCTAGGGAAGGGGAAGGCGGGGGGGGAAGGGGGGGTGCGAGGATGTATCATGTCACCGGCTGGTCACGCAGTGGCTCGTCAGCTACCTTCACGAAGGTTCTGATGGCGTCGTAGAAGCTGATGAGGTCGTCCTGTCGCTTGAAGCCAGGAATCTTGGCGGTGCCGCGCTGCGCCATGCGCACGTAGAGGTCGGCATCCCAAAAGCTCCCCTCCTCCTCCAACCTCGTCCACGCATCAACAACCCACCTGCCCGTAGATACAAAAATGCATTTACACATACAGCATCAGGACGAAGTGCCATGCCTCAGACGAAACTCCCTGTTGTGAGCACAGCCACTTGCACGTAGACGGCATGTCCCACTCTATCCCGCGATACATACATGCCATGCCATCCGTCTGCCTATCTGGCGTACTTGTGCGAGCCGACAGAGCCCGGTCCAAACACCATGTCGATGCCACCGCCGGGCGCGAAGAGGGCGAGGGAGATTGCTTGGAAATCGTTGAAGAAGAGCTGAGACATATGGTGCTCAAGGAGGACATGCACTGGGTGGGTGGGGTGTAGCTGACGATGCAATTCGACACGCACAGGGTCGAGTATCTGCAGGCAGACAGTTACAGAGGTAGGCACATAAATAGGCCGATGTGAGACCATCCCCATGCCAGCACACATGGTATGAGATGTCCATGTACTTCTCTTCTCAGCCCTTCCCGTCCCTACCTACCAGATGGACGTGGATGAAGTGGTCGTAGGCTTGGGCGACACCCTCGGCAGCGTCCGCAGCCATCTTGGCGAGCTGCCACTCGCTCGCCGTGCTGTTGGTCCATTTGACCACGCGGCCGGTGGTGGGATCCTCCATCCCGGCCAGCTGGGGCGTGTAGGTGATACCGTTGTCGACCACGTGTATAGCGAAAACGATCAACTTCTCCTCGGCCTTAGGGATGAGGCCTTGGCCGTCACGACCGAGACTTCGTCGGTTGCTGATGACGGATATCGGGTGGCCTGTAGCTGTGGTGCCTGATACTCGACAAAAATAGGCGATAGTCGAAGGAGTGTACTGCAGAAAGACACACACACACACACACACTCCACACAGAGGGAAACACATACGTACAGCCGTAAGACACCCTCCCTCCCTCTCCTACTACCTTCCATGGCGTAGCTGGCTTGTTGTAGCGGTGCATTTCCGATATGTCCTGCGCACCCACACCCATGGAAGTCCATATCGACGCCTCTCTGTCCGTCGCTGTACCAAACGCCTGGCTTTCACGTGTCCATACATACATCCACCAATACCCACACCCACCACGATGAAAATGTCCTCGGCCTCCAGGAGCGACGGGAAGTCTCGCCCGCAGGCTTCGAGCGTCACGGAAGGGTTGTCATCAAAGCGGTTGGTGAAGCGCGGCTCGTTTGGTATCTGTTCGAGGCGAAAACCCTTGACTGATCCAAACAACAGGGACGCAGTAGGTACACGTGTATAGAGTATATCATGATTGAGAAGGGTGTTGGAATGCCCTCGGAAAGTGCAGCCAATGGACCTGTGAGGCGGTCCATGGCAAAGGCTTCGTCATTGGTGCCACTACAGACAGGCAAATAGGGAGGGAGGGGGATGTCCCGTTCGATCCCACTTATCTGTGCCCTTCCCTCCCTGCCTGTAGGATGAGTAGGGACGGTCAAGCAGTCCAATCTTCTGAATGCTTTTGCTGTTCTCGAGCTCGCGGTACACCTCTTTGAAAAACTCCTCCCCGCGGGAAGGGGAGTCACGCAGCAGTCGCTTTAGCAGCTCAATGGCAAGATTCTTGCGTCTGTAGCTGTTCTTTTTCGTCATCGGCAGGGCGAAGAGGGCCGCGTCCTTCAGCAGAACTGTGCGACGTGCAGGACATACAACCAAGCATCGCTTACTACTCCTCTCTCTGACGAATGGCTTTGTCTGTCGACTCCCTGACGTACGTGTTTGGTATCGTGTGCAATCGTCCTCGCACATTAACGGGCTCAGCCTGCTGCTGTTAAACTCTTTCAACGGCGGGAGGGGACGAGGCATGGGACCTGCATGAGCGCACACAGGTGACGCCGACCGACACATGTAGGGTCAAAGAAGGCAAGTGAGGAGGCAACCCCGTTGCGTGCATTGTTGGATCAGTGGATGTCGTTAAGCGTGTGCAGGACATACAACCAAGCATCGCTTACTACTCCTCTCTCTGACGAATGGCTTTGTCTGTCGACTCCCTGACGTACGTGTTTGGTATCGTGTGCAATCGTCCTCGCACATTAACGGGCTCAGCCTGCTGCTGTTAAACTCTTTCAACGGCGGGAGGGGACGAGGCATGGGACCTGCATGAGCGCACACAGGTGACGCCGACCGACACATGTAGGGTCAAAGAAGGCAAGTGAGGAGGCAACCCCGTTGCGTGCATTGTTGGATCAGTGGATGTCGTTAAGCGTGATGCCTACCTGGCGGGAAGTCCTGATGAAACAAAACAGAGATAGCTTGCCATCGGGCGACGAGAGGTGAGCGCGTGCATGCACCCCTCCATCTCCTCCAATCCCTCCCTGCCTATCTGCCTGTCTTACCACGCCCGTGAAGCCGCCGTCATTGCGGAACCTGGATCCGATATAGAGCTGCACCCACACATACACAAACCAACAGAGACGGATGGCACGCTGGCAGGCAGCTGTCTACCCTCTGCGTGTGAGAACCAATGCCCCGAACACTTGATACGCCCCTAAGTGTACTACCAGTACTATTCACATATCCACAAACCTGTCTTGGGCCGTTGCGGAGGTCCTCGTCGCCCTGCACTCTCACAAGGTCGGCCTGGCGCGTTGCGGTGGGGAGGTGGGAGCGTTGAGGCAGACTCAGAATCCTTGTTGCGAGGGGCGAGGCTACCTCTGCGCCACCAAAGAGGAAACCGAGACAGCAATGATGTAGTGGCAGTTTCACCGTATCGTGCGTCCGACTCAGATGGCTGCCTGCTTACGGGCTTTCATTTCACGAGCCAGGAAGACCGAGGCAATGGTGGCCAACGAGGCCAAGAGAGGGTGGAGGTTCGGCATTCCGGAGGAGGTTGTGCCAGACGTCACGTCACATCAGGTAGGAAACTGAGCAATGCTGCACGGTTGAGCTGGCAGAGGCACCACATCACGCGAGGGGAAAGGGTGTGCTGTGTGGGGTGGTTATCAAGCATCGCTTTTGCCCCCCACTCCTATCGTTTGCTTACGTGTGGTAGTCGGAGAAAGGACGACGAACACCGACGGATCTGGCTGCATGGGTTCACGTAAGGCCGGAGGTGGCCACCCGGCGATCTCCCACCTCAGCAGGCGTCGATCTGCCTTGTGTTATTGGCACGATTCATCGTGCGATTACGACCGATATGAGCACGGTCCCCCCGTGTGATATCGGGTGTTCTGAGACGCGGATGGGAAGAGCGCTTGGGACTCGCATCTTTGGGCCAGACGCGTCAGGCGGCTAGCTGTGAGCCGGTCTGTGCCTGCCTTCGCTCGCAGCGTTGTTTTTCATTCTCCATCAGCATGTCGAAGCGACCCTGCCAGCGTTGACCCCGCTCAGCTTCAGCGTGCCGCGGTGATGGCACAGGTAGATGTCCCTCTCACTGTGCCACCACCCCTTCCCTCGAGACACTTCAGACACAGATCCGGCAAACCGACAGAGACGGATGGCACGCAGGCAGGCAGCTGTCTACCCTCTGCGTGTGAGAACCAATGCCCCAAACACTTGATACGCCCCTCAGTGTACTACCAGCACTATTCATATATCCATAAACCTGTCTTAGGCCGTTGCGGAGGTCCTGTCAGAAGTGCAAGTCGGTCCACTGTAGATCGACGAGCCACTGACGTGTAAGACAGGACTGCGTGGTGAGTCTTTCGATGATGTCCGTGTCCAAGAGACAGGCCATGGCGGACAGGACGTCGGGCAGGATGGACTGATCTATGCTACATGCCATGCATGGACTTTCCACACAATCCCCAGACCTCAAGTTGCATTGACTTAATCCTTTATCCGGGACTGACCGCCCGGCTGATCCTCTCTTCACCATTCTCACCGCTTCTCTCCCACCTATTCTGACATGGTCGCAGCGAGTTGGTTTGTCTCTTCCGCCTGATCGGCAGTTGGGCAGATCCTAACAGGTCTGTCTGTCATCCGCCTTTCGGCAGTCTGTGCAGCAGCCAGTCTATCGTCTGTCTATCAGCAGCTGATAGATCCTAACCGGTCTATCAGTCCGCATTCTCTCGGTGCTATCAGCCCCAAAAGACTTCTTCACTGTCAAGCGCCTCTTCAGCAGCAGCCAGTGTGACGATCCTGACCGGTCGACCTGAGCAGCAAGAAGAGCGGCAGCAATGGCGCAGCCCATCTTTGCATTCGACCCCAAGACCGTCATCCGTACCTTTAATGGAGACAAGGACGACTGGCGTGAGTGGGAATTTACCCTCAGAGCCTTCCTCCTGGCCAAGGAGATGCCCACAGAGCGTTGATGCCTGAGAAGGAAGAAGACATTCCTCAGTTACCTGACCCGAATGATGATGGAGACCGTGGCGAGCAGCGAACGAAGGAGAGGAGTGTGTTACGACAGCTCTTCGGCTTCCTCGTCCTGCACACAGAAGGCAAGGTAAAACGGACCATCCAGTAGTCATTCGACAAGTATGGCGAGAATGGTGCACGAGCCTATTGGGAGTTGCGCAAGCGGTGCGTACCTGAGCGAGTCGTCTGTCGACATGAGGTCCTCCGCAACTTCTTCCAGTACCAGATGGAGAAGGACGATACCGACGACGCTCTCACCGACTTCAACTTCCTGGCGAAGCAGTTGAGCGACATGGGAGAGAAACCAACACCGACAACACCAAGATAGCCGTCATGGTGAATGCCCTACCTCCTCGATTTGAGCGTTTCAAAAGCTCGCTGGACTACCGCTTCAACGACCTCACATGGGAGCAATTCGAGGAAGCCCTCCGCAATGCCAACGACCGCATGCAGCATGCGAGAAGGATGAGCCAGCAGCGTGACCGCTTTCGACAGAAGGGCAACCAGAACGGACGCCAACATGGTCAGCCACACAATGGCAATCGACCTGACACATATCAGGGAGGCAACAGGAACAACGAACGGCCTTACCGAGACAATCGTGACAGCCGCTACGAATGGCGACGCCAACCAAACGGCAACCCCACGGCAACAACAACAGAAGGAACGGCAATCAGTGGAACTCATCAGGGGCGCCTTTCCGCACCTACCCGAGTGGCAATGGAGGACATCAAGGGGGCAACGGTGGACGCCAGCAGCAGCCCATCGTTCGTCACGACAAGAACGGAGATGTCATCATGAATGCGACGCGCACGAACGGCACGAGTAGCCGCAATCGGCGTGTCCACACGAATCAACTCGACGGGTGTGATCACATCAACGACACCTGCGAGCAGATAACAACCGACCTGGAAATGGTGGGGACCGTCACGGCCGTTGAGTGCGAGGAAGAGGTGGTCAACGTCAGCGGTGTGTCTGTGAGACCTACCTCCATGATGATCGATTCAGGAGCCGGCAAGACATGCTGCCACCAGCAGTTTCTCTTCGACGAAATCAAACCACTTGACCGACACATCAAGATCGTCATGGCCGATGGCACGTCCGTACCGGCCAGAGGAGTCGGCCGCATCAAGTACACCTGTGAAGAGGTCAACAACGGCAAGAAGACCGTGTGTGTGGATGGTGTGCTGTATGTGCCTGATCTGAAGTTCAACCTCCTCTCCGTCGCTCACCTGGTGGATCAATACTGCATCGAGTTTCTTATTGGCCCCGGCGGAGCCCACATGACCGCAACAAGGAGAGGAGACCGCTACCCGCTGGTCAGACGTGGTCGTTTCTGGTACCTGGACATGTAGAGGAATGCCAACGACTGCCCCGTCTACTCACAGCCACGTGCCCTGCCGGCAGCAGAGTACACGACAGGCACAGCAACAGAAAGAATCATCGACTCGAGTGGTGATGATGGCGCGTTTCCCTGTTCACCTGCTGATGAAGGTCACAAGCAAACAGGAGCAATGATGGCCGAGGTCATCAGTGAGGAACTTGCCCATAAGCACTTCCTCCACTACCACGACGCAGCCGTCGACCGACTTTCTGAGGTCTGTCGCAACGCACCTGTGGTCAAGAAAGGCAAGAAGAATGAGAGAGAGCAGCGCAAGTGCGCAGTGTGTGTCCAAGCCAAGATGAAGATTCGTCCGTATCTGAACAATGCATTCCGGCATTCGTCACCTGGTGATCTGGTGCACGTCGACCTGGCGCAGATCAAGCAACTCAGCGAGAGAGGATTCAAGTACCTGATGGTCATGGTGGACGACCACAGCCGTTATGTGCAGGCCTACTTTCTCAAAAAGAAGTCCATCGCACCGAAGGCATTTATGCACTACTGCACGGCCATCCGCATGCCCAAGGCAGTGAGGACCGACGGAGGGGCCGAGCTCATCGCCGGCACATGGAAGGCATTCTGCGAGCAGCACCAGATACGCCAAGAACAAAGCCTACCGCACCATCAGTCACAAAACGGCGTGGCAGAACGAACGATTGGTGCGATTTGTCAGCTGACCCGTGCAGCACTCTTTCAATCCGGCCTTCCCTCATTTTATTGGTGTTTTGCTGCGAAGACCGCCACCTACATCAAGAATCGAATGCCAACCAAGAGAAATCCATCAGAGAAGACGCCATTTGAGCTTTTCTGGGGTTACCCACTATGCATCAGGCATATCCGCACATTCGGCGCAAGAGCCTATGTGCGTCAGCGCAAGGACCAGAGGGGCAAGCTGGATCCACGGGCGAAGTTGGGTATCCTCGTCGGCTTCGACCCCAACACGAAGGATGGTTATGTGATGTGGTTCCCTGATGATCGTCAGTTCGTCATCTCACGAGACGTCGAAGTGGACGAGCACGTGTTTCTTGCAAAGGAGAAGCAACCAAGGGGACCACTAGGGATTGATGTGGTGTACCCCCAGACGCCCGTCTCACCTGACGAGCAGACCGACCACCATCAAGACCACCATCGTGCCCAGCAACCCGAAGATGATCGACAGCATCAAGAAGATGAGTGTGTCGACCAACACAGCCAAGATCAAGAGCCTGACAGCTCTGCATTGCGCGAAGGACCGCCAGCAGCACCACCAGTACCGCCGGCCGCTCAAGATGCTCCAGATGCAGAAGAAGCCGTCGCTGATACCGATGGAGGTGCCGCTGACAACTATCGAGTCATTCGAGAGGAAATGGGGATAGATGACGACAATGCCGAGCACCGAAGATCAGGCCGAAACCTGTGTGTTGATAGTGTGTCACTACATTCCCGTCTATATCTGTGTGTGTTCATGTGTACCGAGGTGGGCGAGTATAAGCAGCGCTAAGTTAGTGACACAGCTTAGTTTCTTCCTCTTCCACATGTATATGTGTCTGTCTAGATAGATAGATACGAAACGAGCAGCACCCACATCATGCATACGAATTCATACATGCACCCCACCCATCCTAACCAGCCGGCCGCTCGGAGATGCCTTTTCAGTGCGGCTTGATGAGTGGATGGGAAAGCTATATCGTATTGTGCTTGTTTGCATGGCGATCGATCGACCGACAAACAACCAATACGACAGCGGCGTTTTCTTTCCTCCTTTTTCATTGATTAGCTTTTTGTGGATCGAGGCATAGAGAGATGTTCATATCAGAGAAATGGCGGGCGAGGGGCGAAGATGGCCAAGGTGGATATAGAGAGGAATAATTCATTTGCTCACAGCAGTACGAATAGGAAGGCGGCTTTGTGTCAGTACTGTGTGGGTGCTTGCTGGAGATATACGTGTGAGGGCTGCATGACGGGTTGTGAGTCGATATGAATAGGCCTGATGCATGCATCCTGATGTGAGTATATACACACCTGCGCACAGAGACATTGGTCATATACACACACTCCAAGTCGACACGTGCATGCGCAGGGCTGCGCATACAGACATTCATCATATATATACACACACACACACACACACTCCAAGTCCACACGTGCATGCGCAGATGTGCGCATAGAGACATTCATAATGTATACGCACTTGGAGACATTCACCATATACACGCACTCCAAGTCCACAAGTGCATGCGCAGGTGTGCGCATATAGACATTTATTATAAAAACTCACTCCAAGTCCACAATGCACGCGCAGGTGTTGTATATACAGTGAACTGTACCTTGAACCTTGGTCCTTAACAGTCCCAGGGTTTCAAGGATACGTTTCCCTGCGGGGTGAAGGGCTAGGGAGGTCCGCCGACACGGAATGCAGGAATAAGACTTTTTGGTGTGTTTCTGGGATGCTCTTTATGTGTCATGACCGAATTGACAAATTGCAGTCGATGTGCACACAGTTGATTGAAGCTTAACGAACTGCCATCCATCCATTCATCGTCCATCGTGCATTGCATGCAGTGACACAAACGTCAATACACATAGACAGTGGGCTGCAAGGAGAAAAAATCCTCAGCCCAATCAGGCTATTTGCCGGCAGCAGTCCGCCGCCGCTGTCCAGCCCCATTTCGACGGCGCGCCCTGGGTCCGTCCGCTCGGGCCGGATCGGTTGGGACCACCCCGGTTCCCAAACGCCAGGCCCTTTTGGGTCGTCGTCCCAGGACGCAGCGTGTCCCGCTCCCTGCCAGCACAAGGACGTGTCCGGCCAGCTGGGTGGGCGCCCGTTCACTCCGCAACGTTGCGCGGGCCCGCCACAACGATCCGATAGCCCTCCGGGCCCTCGAGCCAGATCTCGTGCTGCCGACCGTTGGGATTGTAGAGCGGCCCGTCCAGGACCTTTGCGCTCGCTTTCTCCACCCGAGCCACGAGCCCATCGAAGTCGTCGGTCGAGAACCAGAGAAGCACACCATTGCCGCGGGACGGATTCGACTCGTCGCCGAGGTGGGGATGCTCGTGGGTGTCCCAAGCGTGCAACTGGACGACCAGCGCTTCACCGTCCATGAGCATCTCGTATTCCTGACCTCCATGGCCGGAGCAAAGGCCGAGGACCTCCTGGAACCACTTCGAGCAGGCTTCGACGTCACGAACGACGATCATCGGCTGGGGTCGCATCATCACTCTGGTCCCTCCTCGTGCCGACAAGCGTGGCAGCGTCAGTCTGTTGTATACACAGCGAAACGCATCCTTGAAACCCTGGGACTGTTAAGGTCCCAGGGTTTCACTTAACAGTCCCAG